AGGAGGGATGGGTCTCAGACTTCACTCCTCCAGCCCATATTTACTCCCAATTTGAGATTCACATAGTAAACTTTTACGTGCCTTGTCTCTTCGCATCTCTGTGGAACCTGTCTCTACTGTGGTGTTTCACATCTGTGGCTCATTTCAGGGCGGTCTTGTGGGGGAGTGCAGCGTTGGACCATCACAGCATTCAGCTCTATGTTTATCTTTCAGTCCCAAACAGAAGCCTGCTGCTTCCTGCCTGCTAAGCACATCAACTCCATGATCTGCTAACATCTCTTTGTTGTTTCTTTCCTTGTTTTGATGCCCAGAGCTTTTCCCCTTTTAATGGAACAAAGAGAAAACTCTGATTCCCTTCATACAGATGTGAAGATAATAACTGGGTTGAATAATTGTCCACAAAGTTAAAGGAGAACAACCTGTTTCTTTCACAAGCCTAAAGTAGCCTGATTTTCTCTTACTAAGCACCACTATCACCTGGTTTGTGAATGATGTATTTACCTTTGGCACCATCTAGTGGAGAGAAGGTGCAAATGCGCCTGCTGGTGCACATCTGCACACTGGTTTTAGCTAATGGTCCCCAGTTCCTTAAACTGTACCAGGCAAGTATGTCACATGATTAAAAGTAAAGCGACGTTTTCTAAAGCACGTTTTTGCAGATAAAAACATTCACGAGTCCAAGCTTTAAAGTCGTATGCACTGTAGGGAAATTAGTTTCCTCTATAACAGAATTCTTACTTGCTGCCCAAAGTACAAATTTAATTAGAAATAGATCATTAGATTTTAAAAATAAGTACGCAATAAAACAATTAGAATATATACTGAAAAAGTTAAACCTTTGACATAAGGGATCAGATCCTGCTTTAGCCTCAAACACGTATCAATGCTGCTTCTCGTTTCACAACAGGAACAAGAAAACGTGAACTTGAAACACCAAAGTTGGCATCATCATATGTACAGGATCCTCAACAATATTAGGCTTTTTGTGGAACACAAGAAGGTCTCAAATCCAAACACACTCCTGATTTATGGAATAATTAAACAGTTTAAGAACAACTCAGAATTTTTGATACTATTGTTTTTATGTGATGACTTTATTACTTTTATTTTCATTCTTACTGACATGCTTATGTTGGTCTTGAACGAGGAAAACTCCTTTTATACAAGAAGAAAACTCCAGATCCGAGCTCAGAATGAATGTCCTTTTGCCTCGGCCACCCGGAATCTGAGAGGACAGGATAGTTTGGCCAGTTGTCAACTGAGGACATACGGAGCAATAAGATCTGTAACATAAGACTCATCACATGGTACCAGCTAACGTTCTTGGGTACCTCTTAGCCAATAGCGATGGCAGATTTAAATTCAAACGCAGTGCAGAGTTTTTACCTGACAACGGCGCAGCACTGACAGAATTAGGCAGAAAATTAAAATTTTTACTAAAATGCACTAAAGTGCAAAAGTATTGACTGCACATGTCTACAGCATGATTAGACACGCATTTATATAGTTTATTGGGGAAAAAAGTTGATTTGGGGGTGACTTGCTCTTTAAGGACAAATCTGGATCCATAATGATGCAAAAATGAAGTTAGTGCCATTTTCAGTAAGTTGATAACTACACATTTTGTTTCAAAGCTCAGGTCCAACCATCAAAACATGTTTGTTGTCTTAATTAGAAAAAGGCTACTGAGAGTCCTCAAGATACTTATTCCCCTAAAAATTGGTGAAACACAGGACATTTGTTTGATTAATTAATTAGACAAATCAGGCTTCACGAATAAAAATAACTGGGTGAATCATTATAACAATGGGAACTGTATTGGCGTGATGTATAATAATTTGACCCATTGGAAGAAAATATAGAGTATTGGACTGAACCTTGAGGAACTCCATGAGTGAGTCTAGTAAAAGAGTTAGATTGACATGGACCACTTGATTATTCTGGCAAGCCATACAGTGCATGCCAAAAGTTTGGACCCACCTTCTCATTCAATGTGTTTTTTTATTTTCATGACCATTTACAAAGGTGCCAACAAGTGCTAAACACGCCTGGGAACTGCTTCAGGACTGTTAAAAAAACCATTTCAGGTGACTTCCTCTTGAAGCTCATTGAGAGAACGCCAAGAGTGTACAAAGCAGCAATCAGAGCAAAGGGTGGCTATTTTGAAGAAAATAAAAGATAAAACGTGTTTTCAGTATTTCACCTTTTTCGGTTAACTACATAACTATGTGTTCATTCATAGTTTTGATGCCTTCAGTGAGAATCTACCAATGTACTGTACTGTATGTGAATATATAGTCTGGCCACAATCCATTGACTGATAGTTGGGGGGGGGGGGGGGGGGGGTCCTACAGTTGTCTTTCAAACTGTCTCCTTATGCTATTGGCTACAAACAACATGACATACTCGCCGCTGCAGTCCACCATACACAGTTGAAGGAGATGCAAATACATCCCTTCAATCTGCTCTTGATAATTCAAATTGCACTGGGCTCTCTGGGACGGGGGCACATATTGTAGCACAGCACAAAGCAATCACTTTTACAGACATCTAAAAAAAATTCTACAGAATTCCTGAAAATTTTGCATTTTAGTTTTAATCCCAACAACATGTTTAGGATTAGTTTTATTTATTTTGCTAGTCAAAAAAACGAGTTGTATTGTAGATGGCTGCAGCTTTGATTTAAAAGACCTTAAATTATGGATCATGTATGCACCTGCAGGACAGGTCGGGTTTTCTCAGCATCTGTCTGCATTCCTTCGTGGGGGTTTTAGTTGCTTGCAGCTCAAGGCTACCAGGGCGTCAGATTCAGATAACAAGAACCCACCCAAGAACAGTCACCCAAATGATTGAAAGCTGGTAGTACACTTTAGTTTTTTAGCCATTTAGAAGAGAACATTCAGCCTCCTTATGTTAATGAAGACGTATAGAAAGATCTTACTCTTTCTTTTTGTCCTCTTGGGATTAACGATATGAAGGAGAAGGAACTGGATTTATAAAGTTGAAAGTGTTCCTTAGTAGAAACATTCTGGTTTCCAGCAGCATTTAGAAAAGAAGGGAAAACAGGAGTTGCTGCCCTCCAATGGAACGGGGAACATGTGCCAGAATACCTGGACATTTATTTCCATTCTGTTATTTTCAGTCCCTTTTGATGAACTGCAGTGTTTTCTACCAAGCACGCTTTAAGATCCATCTGCTTCACAGTCAGACATTTCAACCAGCCTTAAGGGAAACGTAATGATTTATTTACAAGCTGAGATTTTACTCTTCCCAGTTTTGACTAATAGTCTGAACATGTTATAATGATGAAAGCTTCCAGGAATTTAGTTTTTGGTGAGTAAAACTTGGGTTTGTGAGGTGCTGCAGACATACTGGGGTCGGGCACATGCAGCCCAGGCACGCCTGGGCCGACAGCCACATCTGGAGAGCGAACAGAGAGAGTTGGACGGAGGGTTGAAAACAGCAACCGTTGGCTTTAAGTGCTGCTTGGCACAGTTTTGTCCTGCAAAATGTTAACACACAGGTGCAGATCTGCATGACGGCTGTTGAATTAAGTTTAATTGTGCCTGCTGGCAGCTCCAGCATGGACTTCAAACACACAAAAATCCTGAAAGCTTATGTCTGTAATTTGCACGTGGATGATGGATATTTATGTGAAATAGGGGTACAAAGAGTTCAACTCACTTCTCAGATCTTTTTTTTATTATTGTTTATCATCACCCAGAACAAAAAATAAATAAATCACTGAAATTATAGGTGCAATCAAAGCAGGGTGAAGCGCAGAAAATAGATACAAAAATCACACACATAGAAAACATACCAAAATGTTCACTGGATTTGTCAGGATTTATTGCACATAGAAACATGGGTATTGTGTGTGTGTGTGTGTGTGTGTGTGTGTGTGTGTGTGTGTGTGTGTGTGCGTGCGTGCGTGCGTGCGTGCGTGCGTGTCCTGGTTTTTACTGCGTCTCTTGCCTGATCGGAAAAGCTGGAAGAAAAGGACTTTGGTTTGCTTGATCCCATGTAGGGAAGGAGAGAGCTAGATGTTTCCTACTGCCACAACGATGCGGTAGACAAACCACTCTTGATGAAGCAGTGATAGAAGGTGATGAGCTGGATTTGGGAGGAAGTGGTGCTTTCTAAGAATTCTCAGAACATGCTTTCTCTTCTCTGCCTACATTAGCAGCACCGTGTCTAGTCATCCACCAACTCAGGGCCCAGATACCTGAACACTGGACCATAAAGAAGGGCTGATGGGTGGCTAGACATTTGCTTTGTGTTTCCTGAAGTCAGTAGCTAGTGCCTTAGATATTGCAGTGTTTCCTCTATAATCCCGACCACTGTAGTTCCATCAGCAGGCTTTATAAACCTGTTACTAGTCTAGGAGGGGGGTTAGGGACTGCTGAGGGCTACTTACACAGACCTGTGGCAGTTGTGGCTGCTTTTAGCACCCCCTAGTGTCCATTTAGTAGAACCAAAAGCAAAATGTATGTCCTCACCGTGCGTTTGTCTTTTTAACACCTTAACCTAACAGCTGAAATGTCTCTTCAGCTTTCATTACTGTGTAAACAAATCAGTAGCGTTCATGATCTAAAACATGCAGGAAACATGCCTGAGCCAGACTGCAGCTCCAGGTATGTCAGCTCCAAGTCCAACAGTCCAGACCGGTACTCTGATGTTGCAAGTGTGGTATTCTGGACACAGAGAGCGGTGGGAGTCTGACTAACATTTCATCAACACTGTAAAGGGTTATGTTAGCACGTTCAGGCTCAAGAAAATTATTTTGAAAATGAAAAAGTTGCCTAGGATCCCTTTAATTTGGAGAAGTGATGAGGTAGAGGGCCCAGCCTGACCCTCTGAGGGAAACCTGACAACAGGTCCAGGATCCATGTGAAAGATAAGTGCCAGGTCTGCCAGTTTGGACACCAGTCTAGTGGGAGAATGGTGTTAAACATCAATCACAAGTCCAATGGTAGTCTGATATTAACCACCAATTAATACGTAAATGAATACTGAGGCCCAGTAACTGACTTGTTTTTGTCTTTTTTTTTTTGTTTGTTTTTTTGTTTAAATGTAAGATTTATTAAATCATTCATTCGGCTTTTACTGACCTAAAATTGAGAAAATGCATACAACCAGAAATTTGAAGACGCCTGCAGTAAAACATGAAAGGTCTTATGAAAACTAACAGGTGAAATCACTAGTAGAGAAGTACAGGTGGAACTCTAAAAAAGGAGAATGGTGCAAAGTCCATGTCAGTCATCCAGACTGAGACACAAGCTTACAATAGAAAGGACAACACCTGTCCCTTTCCCTCCGGCTCGGCTGTGTGATGGGGGGGTTGTTGCTGGCTGTTCATTAACACCCTCTATGCGACAGCGCACCTCCCATTCGCCCACCGTCCTGGGGGGGTGAGGTTACATGTGGGGTTCAGGGGCCACAAAGAGGGGGCCCGCGGGCTGCCTGTTGAGGACCACTGATCTAAAGGCTCAGGAACCCTTTGCAGGCGTTTTGAATGCATTAGCTAAATAAAGCGTGACACTTAAAATCTAGAATATTGAACCTTTTCAAATTATTCTAATTGAGATTTTTAATGTGGGCTTTTCATAAGCTGTGAGCCATAATCATTAGTTATAAATAAAGGCTTCAAATACCTGGCTTTGCATGGAATGTGTCTGTCCCATATATTGGTTTCATCTTTCAAAGTGAATAACTGAAATAAATGAACTTTTGAACCATATTCTAATTTGTCCGAGTTTCACCTGTACATGTACACGTTGCTCTTGTTTATCTGTTCCATCTCTTTGTCAGGGTCACAAAGCAAACATGTAATTATATTATATGCTGGCAGATTTACACCAATAAAGTGTAGCAGGTTTGAGTCATTTGTAGTAATTAACTTTTAAGTGTAAAACCTGGAGAAATGTCCACAGCAGAGACAAAAGTGACCAACTTAGAAAAGGAAAACAGATTTTAATTAGTCCCTCTTCCTCGGGATACACCAGGGTTACATTTCTAAATCAGTAGGACATGTTGTGCTTCTCAAGAGTGACTATCCTCTATTTTCACTTTAACAAATACATTTTAAAAATGGGTCCTTGGGAGGGGACTCTCTCTTTTCTCCCTGCAGGGCACGTTGTTCCCCTTTGACCAAAGTGGTTACGAGTTATTATTAACACTTAGAAAATTGGAATTCAACAGAAGTCCAAATTAAGATTTAAGACTAAAATATTCCTGTTGTGTTACTTGGAAACAGTTAAAGTGCTTAAGTTGTGTTTCTTTATAAACAAACACGTTTATAAAGTCACTTTTGAACAGCAGCCTGTGTGAAGATGCTGTGCTAGGCACGATGATGCTTGTCAGCACACATCAGCAGCGTTTCCACACAGACTCTGGTCGTCAAGCTCTGCTCTTTTTCTCCTTGCAGGTGACGAGCTTCACTGATAGCACAGGTAGCCAATGATGAGCTTTGGCACGTCCAGCTGAGCGATGACCTTTAGAGCCGTGGTACCCAGCGTCCTCCTCACTGCCAACCTGCTGAGTTGCTGCAGACTCATAGGAGTAGCTACAAAATAATCAGGAAAACAGGCCTAACATCATTTCTCATGTCTTTCTTCCTTGATGTTTTGCTAACACATATGTGAAATAGACAGTGTGAGATCCATCGTGTTATTTTAGGTTGATATTTGAAAACGAATAAGTATAAAAAAAAAGGTTTCTCGGTGAAACTGGTCTTTAATATATGAACGCAGTTGAGAGAATTAAGGAATTAAGGAAGGAATGGGTGTCAGAAACTATCCTTGCCTGCCACCTACTGGTCCTATACTAACACTGCACCTCCAACAGCTATGAATGGACGTATTTTCTAAGTCTCCCAGACTTTGGTCAAAACTTACTTTCATAAAACTCCAGGCAGGTTGCAGACAGAGAGCCTGGTGTGGTGTAGTTCACGGGTTTCCTGTTGTGCTGATCTCTGGCATAGATGTTGGCCCCAAACTCCACCAGTAACTCCACCATGTCGTGTCTCATAGCTTTAGCTGCGTGGTGCAGGGGAGTCTCGTGTAGCCTGGCGGCATTGACTTTAGCACCTGAACACAAATACAAGCCTGTTTACTTTGAGGAAGGAAAACGTAGCTTTTTTTTTGCCTGGAGATTTCTTGAGAGAGCTTTAAAGATTTGTATGATCAGTTTCTAGATTTTTAACACATTTTGTTTATAAAGCAGTTTTATTTGCCTCGTCTTTTTATCTTATGAGCTTTAATTGTTCACGGATCTTTTTGGCGCTTTGGACCAGTTTGGTTGTCTGAAGTGCTTTATAAATAAAGTTTGCTTGGCCTTTTTAAAAGCCATTAATGTTTTCATTCAGAGAGCCAAGCTTACTTAATAGAAGAATCCATATTCAGGTGCTTATTTCCTGATTTGGGATATCACACCTCTGATTGGCTAACAGCAGTGCCTCTCTACCACCTTCCTAGGGTAGATCAGAATCAGAGTCAGAATCAGAAAAGGTTTATTGCCTTTGTCAGTGAACAAACAATTCACAAACTAGGAACTTGCTTTGGTACTAATGTGCTCCATATAACATGAACAATAAGATTAAAAATAGAATAAAATATAATAAAAAATAAACTAGAATAAAACTTTCAGCTATAAAAAATGGCAGGTAATGGTAACATGGCCGATAACGTGACTTTGTGTCGAGTACAGAAGACGAGCATGGTTGCGTGTTTATAATCTGTTCACAAGTCTAACGGCAGATGGAAAGAAGCTGTTCTTATGGCGGGAGGTTCTGGTCCGGATGGACCGTAACCTCCTGCCTGAGGGGAGCGGCTCAAAAAGACTGTGACCCGGGTGCGAAGGGTCAGCTGCTATCCGACCTGCACGCCCCCGAGTTCTGGAGACGTACAGGTCCTGGAGAGATGGAAGGCTGCAGCCAATCACCTTCTCAGCAGAGCGCACAATGCGCTGCAGTCTATGTTTGTCCCTCACTGTGGCTCCAGCGTACCACACAGTGATGGAGGTGAGGATGGACTCAATGATGGCCGTGTAAAACTGCACCATCATCATCTTATTAAGATTTAAGCAAAAAGTTTTTCCGTGTTAATGTTTTTTTAAACACTATGGTCATTTTCAACTGTAACATCAACGCAAGTGTGATTTTAAAAACAACAAAGGAAATGTGATGTCTTTGTTCACTTGTAAGTTGTGTTATTTTAGAACCTGGGGGGCACCGTAAAAGGTTCCTGGGGTACTCATGGGCACCAGGTCAGTGATCCCCTGGCCTACATGTCTTATTTTATTCTGTTGACGTTAAACTGACCTAATCTCTGATTGTGCTCTGTGTCGACACTCGCCTGCATTGAGCAGAACTTTAACACAGTCCGTGCGCTCGTTAACACACGCCACATGCAGTGGAGTCCCATAGTAAAGGTCATACGCCTCGAGACAGGCACCCATAGTAATAAGCAGCCTCACGCAGTCTGAGTTACCTGAAAATGAAACCACAGAATTAAGAGTCACCGTGTTTGCTTCACAAAATGGGACTTTAGTGGTCAGAACAATCAGTGTGAAGCACTCACCTCCCATGCAGGCCTCGTGGAGGGGGGAGGCTGTGCGAGAGGTGAGGGCGGGGTTGGCTTTAGCACCGTGCTCTAATAAAAGCTTCACACACTCCAAACTCCCAGATGAGCAGGCGTCACACAGCGGGGTACTTCCATCCACATTTCTAGCATCCACCTAAAATTAATTGGAAGATATTAGAGTAAAGATAGCTAAACATTCTACACCTTTCTAAGCCAATAGCTTCAAGAACTATTGGCATAGATATGCAACAGCCTATTTGTCAAAAGTGAAATGAAACAAGACAATTTTGCATTTTCCCTTTGTGTTCCAGTCTGCCCCCTGCTTCACCTGTGCTCCAGCGTCCAGCAGCAACCGCACACACTGAGCCTGACCCTGAAGACAAGCCTCATGCAGGGGTGTGATCGAGTCCACAGCCACCACATTGACTGAAGCTCCACCTTGGATGAGGTGCTGCAGATGAGAGGTCTGGCCAAGGGAAGCTGCTTTGTGCACCTCCGTTCTCTCAGCCCAGCAGCCTACAAGTCAAACACACCAACACACTTTTAGAGAAACACTTTTTAAATGTGTAATGCAGAAAAAACAGCCTAAATTAGCCTAATTCTTCCAGCTGATCCAGAATGCTGCTGCCAGAAACAGGGTTCAGAATTCTACAATTTTAGCATCACCTCATTGGCTCCTTAAAAGATCACCGTTGAATCTATGAAAGGAAGAATTAAAGCAAAAAGGACTTCATGCTGGTACCATCAAGGTGAATGTAATAAAGTGGTTTTGAATATATAAGAATTTCAACATCCTGATGATCAGAAAACATAGCATGTTAATATAACAAGACAAACTTAAAACAACCTTACTTTTAACCACAAGTTATTCTACATTTACCTCATTTAAATGAGAAAATGCCAGTATAACATCTTCTTATTGAAAATAAATTCTTGAAATAATCTACTAATGTTAAAATAATGCTGCTTCTACACGAATTTATTTTATTTAAAAACATTTTTGTTCAATGCTGCATAAATGCTAATAAGCAGCCTAATAGGAAGCCCACCAAACACTTCAAATATTCAAACGAGACCAAACTGATCGAGCAAAAAACAATATCACTACTGATCTTATGAAATAAAAAAAATGCACTTTGTTGAAATCCACATATACCTTCTGCCGCTCTGACAGCTGAGCTAGCACTAGCTAGCTGAAGCTAGCAGCAGGTTAGCCAAACACGTCGTTCGTAAAACCGAGTCAAGATTTTTAAAAGGGCCCAAAAGTCATGTCATCGTGTGCTTGTAACTCACCGATGTCTCCAAAGTAATACGAATGTGAACTTTCCATTTCCAACGTGTGGCTTTGTTCCTTTCTATCGCAGATTTTAGTCAGCGAAGGACCAGCAGTTTGTAAACAGCCGCGTCCTCGCTGTCTGCTTGATGCATGTGTCACATGACACAACAGAAGCGCGAGGCATTCTGGTAGTTGTAGTTTTTATGGATAAATCATAATGAATTGAAAACAGACATGGGAAAATACTATTATCATAGGATTAACAAATAATACATCAAAATTTTAATGCTACATAATATGAAAAATGATAAAAGAATAAAACAGCTCCACGGACATTCTAATGTTTTGGTGGCCAGCCTTGTGAACCTATTTCCGTCTTATTTGCATAATTATTTTTTTTTCAAAATGAATCAATATTAATAGACATCATATCATTTTAAACATTATATGGCTTAAAGTTATGCAATTTAAAAAACCTGCAGTAAGAAAAGGTCAACAGACACGTTGGGACTGCCCCTGAGTGAGTAATTGGGCTTCAAATGATGGGCTACATCAGTTTCTTTATGAACTTTCTAATTATTTTAATTTTTTTCCCTTTAAAATTGTGTAAATTTTAAATTTCAGGAATGTACACTGAATGACAATTTCATTATATTCTCATTACATTATCTCTGGTTGATGATACATTTGAAACTTGAATAAAATGTGGTTTTCTTTAATTATATGAATTATTTTAAATATTGGGAAAAAACACAAAGTGAAAATCTCCCCTCGTTACAAGTTTTTTGTTTTGTTTCTTTGCCAAGAGAGTAACGAGACAAGGCAGCTAGGCAAGGCAACTTTATTTGTATAGATCATTTCATACACAGAAGCAATTCAATGTGCTTAACTGGAAGAACACAATCATATATGATGATGCTATTATTTACCCAACTAATTATGCTTAGATTCCCCTTTTAAACCAGCTATAGCTAGTGAGAATATGGGGCAAGAAACATCTGGCTCTTTTTAACATCTGGTATGAATCTTTGAGCTCTGTGAGTCTTTGTGAATTGGGGTTTGTTACAAAAACAAATCACACAATAAAATAAATACATCAATAAATATGTGATATTATTTTACCTTGTTACATAAAGGTGGTTTATATTAAGATTTTAGAAATATTTTTTTCTCTTCTTTAAAACCCCAGTTGATTCCTGAGTCAGCTGTATGGTGGGCTGATGATGGAACTGGAGGTAGTTGTGAATACGATAGGACAGATTTAGCTGGCCTATGGCCTCTGATGCTCGGGTGCCCAGCATCGTCCTCACAGAAATCCTGCAAAGCTGCTGAAGGCTCAAAGAATTTTCTGTCAAGAAAAGACGGTTAGTTAAAATTTTTCCAAAAAAAAAAAAAAGAGATTAAAACAACTGTAGTTTGTAATAGTAGTCGAGTAGCAAAAGAACAAGTTACTTTCATAGAACTGAAGGTAGGAGTGAGAGGGAGACTCAGGTGTTGTGTAGTCTGCAGGCTTTTTTCCAAGGTTGTCGCTGGCATACACGTTAGCTCCGAATTCAACCAACAGCTCAATCATATCAACCACGTCGACTCGAGCTGCGTGGTGCAAAGCAGTCTCGTGGAACTTCACTGAGTTCACATTAGCACCTGTGTGAAGCCAAGAAGTCACAATTAACACATCTGAGTCATCCGGAAGGATGAAAGTTCCATCTTGAGTTTGTGACGTGCATAATTTGTACTGACCAGCCATTAGAAGCTCCTTGACACAATCCAAATGTCCCTTAGCACATGCTATGTGAAGCGGTGGGCCGAAGTGGACATCAAAGGCCTCCAGCTTGGCACCGCTGGCTATCATCAACCTCACCAATTCAACACTACCTATGAAGAAAGTCACTATTAATTAACAAAAAAGTCATAATTGTACTTAGTTTTGGCGCATTAAGGTAGAGTGGGTGATGCTTTTCTCTTCACAAACCCGATGACAACCAATAAACAAATTTTTTGTCAGAAAATAAAATAATGTTAAACGCCTCTGAGATGTACAATCCTGTAAAAACCTCATGGTGAATGTCTTGTTCTTATTGATTGGATCATAACCCAGCTACCAAACTGCCCTCTGACGGTCCCTCCCCACTCTGTACATACCCCTCTAAGTGCACGAATTGAGCGTTTTCGGCTCGGAGCAGCTGAACAGGAAGTGTAGCTGGAGCCAGGCTGACTAGTGTAATAGACTGAATGTCCTGCTCCATTTGCAACGTTTTTACATGACTTTAGAGTTTGTTTCTTTTTTGTTGAAAAAAGTTTAGGTGACGGACCTGTTTTCTGTGTATGCAGCCAGTCTTTTGCCAGCTGGCAGAGCTGTCATTTTGTTGCATTGGCAGCACGTGTGTATGAGGAGAGCTCTTCTAGGGGGTAGAGGGAGTCTGAGGAGGGTTGGCGTGGGTTCTGAAAGTTTTGACCTGTTTTTCAGGAAGTTTTCCCAAATTGTTGATGGTGTTGAGCTGCTGTGAATTTGAAGTCAATAAACCAAGAAAGCTAAAAGCTGTTTGCCACCATAAAAACACCACACTATATTAGCTAGCATTCTAAATTGTTATACGGATATGTAGGTGCATCGTGTTAGGAATTATTGCAGAAAAGGTGCTAACAACAGGTTAAAAAGGTCAAACAGAACCCAAGCATTGTGCCTTTTTGTATTCTGGAGGGGAAGCTTAGGAGAGGAAAGGGGGTTGGACATTTGAATTGTGTTTAATCAAAAAATAGCTTGCTTGGTCAGCATGAAAAACATGTCCTATTATACCTTTAAATATTTACCTTGTATGCAGGCTTCATGGAGAGGTGATGCAGTAAGGGCTGTAAGAGATGGGTTGACTTTGGCTCCGTATTCTAACAGCATCTTTGCACACTCTAAGCTACCAGATGCACAAGCGTTACAAAGAGGAGTGCTGCCATGAATGGTTCGTACATCTACCTGAAAGAACCAGTGAGAAGACTTGATTGTTTCTTACAATTTTTTCTGGCATTTTTCACTCCCCACACACAGCTTAGAGTGACACATGTTCAAGTGTTTGATCCACAATGGAAACCAAACTGACCTGAGCTCCAGCCTGCAGCAGCAGTCTGGCACAGTTTGGGTGAGCTTGTATGCAGGCTTCATGCAATGGAGTGATGTTGTCCACAGTCACTACGTTAACAGAGGCCCCACCTTCTAAGAGCTGCTTCAGCTGCAGAGCTCTACCATGAGACGCTGCCTCATGCAGAGCAGTCCGGTCTGCCCAGAAACCTTACAAACACATTAGCAGGGCGACAGATCTTCAACATAAAAGTAATGTTGACAGGTTGCAGCAGGAGACACAGTCAATGTCAAAGGTTTAGCAGTTTTTTATATCCATGGTCTGACTCTAAAAGATTGTTTTTAATGGAAGTTTTATTTTTCTATTTTCTAATTACAATGGTTTGTGTGCCTCTCAAAAAATCTATGCGTCATTTTATTTTATGTTTCGCTGTTTTCCCAGCACATGCGTAATTGACGCTCGACACTTGGGCAGTAATTGCGCATGCGCGACTCGTTGTGGGGAAATCCACAGATACTTGTTTATATACATGGCTATGGCCTCATATGACATTGCCGCCTGCTGATTTCGGGGGGCATAAAAGCACGAGATCGTAAACAGAAATCTAATTACGTAACGTTACGCTTCATTTACAAGCCTATCGGTGTAAACTGCATACGTAATTATGACGGCTAAGTCAATCCGCTCCAACACGTGGGGTTGAAGTCTTTAAAGGTAGCCAACCTCAATCATGAATTAATTACATTTACTGCGTTTGTACTGGTACGGTTTGGCTAAGAGTATCGCTAACCGTTGACAACGATCTGTCACAGTTTGCTACACTAGCTACGGTGCATTGATAATGTGCTAGCTCACGCTTCATCGGTAGGCCGTTCGTGCACATTTCGAGGCTCACCGAGATCACCAAGACTCGAGCGACGTGCTGCAGTCACCGCCATGGCATTCTGTCCTGGGACAACTTGTCCTGGGATACTGCTCTAGACGGCGCGCCAGCGTGTTCGCGAGATGCAACCTTGCGAAAACATCTCACAATGTCTCAAAACACACGCTACTGTCCCGCAGGGGAATGTGGGAAATGTAGTATGAAGGGCCACCTAAAGCCAAGTGCGTGAGGACTGGTTTTTGATTTTTTTCTGCACACGCACATACAAAAGTAGTTTGAACTAAAATAAAACAAGTGTTTTTTTTTTTTGTCTTTTTTTTACTTTGCAGTACAGGAATCATTCCAGCCCAAGATCTTTATTTTTCTTTCCAGTTGTTCAAAAGCGATAACACGACAGGGCTTTCATCAGTTCAACACTGCTCCAGTACATATTTGGTCCTTCTTCAGCAATTACAGTGAACCACACTTGCCCTCTGCTTGGATCGCACATCATTTTAGTAAAATACATAAACTAATGTGCTCCCCCTGTTGCAATAGTAACTCATTTTGTTAACAGGTTCAGGTCATTTAAAATCAAACACAGACACCACTATGGCTTGGCTTACAGTATACTGTCATGGCAGTTCCAGGGTATGACAATATTCAGTAAAGTTTAAAAAGAATACATGAAAAAGCCAAGAACACACACTAAACCACGTCATTTCACAAAGTCGGACTATATGAATGTGGTGCAATGGCCTGTTTTAGCTGAAATTACCACACCCTGCAAGAAACACTCCATGCCTCACATGATTTAATACAAAAAGGACAAAGCCAAGCCATTTTTCCCAACGTGACATAGAAACACACCTGGAGGAATTAACGTTCGTTTCTGAAGACATTTTACATCTTGCAATTCCTGAACAGAGACAGAAAAATGCACCCTCCAGCATGTTTACAATTTCATTGAGAATGACTTCTCTTGTGGTTTGGCATTTTTGGACTATGCATCATCTTAATAGGACTCGCAAGAATATAGGATATTTTCTAATTAAGCATAAACCTCAGTTTAGTGCAATATTCACCTGAATGTGATCTGAAAAAAAGCACTGCTCTCTCCCTGAACCCGATCCAACAACACTATCATCCCTCTATAGATCAAAAACTTCTTCAAAGGGCAGACCATGTATTGGATTATCTGGTTAGCCCATGGGTGGGTACATATTTGTGTAGATTTTTCTATTTTTTTAGATTTTCCTCTGATAATCTGGAATAGTGGGGATGCGTCGTCTCTACTCCGCAGCGTCACCGAAGATGTCCTGCTTTTTGCGCTCCATCTCTGCAAAGTCAAAGTCTGAGCCAGTCATCCTGCGGTAGATGTCCTTGATGTCATCGCAGGTGGTCTCGAAGTGAGTTGTGGCATCGTATGAGCGGGAGATGAAGATCTAAAAAGGGAAATAAATGTTAAGACTCATCATTTCTGATAAAGACACAGATGCCTTTAATTGCTTATAAAAGTTTAAACAAAAAAAATTAACCAAAAAGAAAAAAACCTTGTGTAATTTCTTGTTTTTAGTTAATCACTGATGCAGTGCACATGACAAATATTACTGTTATGGTAAAGTACCAAACGTACCTGGCTTTCTGTGCCCAAGTCAGTAGGCTCATACAGGTCACTAATGCTGACAAACTTCTGCTCAATGGGTTCCAGTAGGTCCAGGGCTGGCTTGACCTCCTTCTCTGGGTCATTCGTCTCCACTGTGGTGCTGGCAATTGCAATGTATTTTCCCGCTGCTGCCACGTTGTGAGCAAAGGAGATCATACAAACGTAGATGTCTGGGGGGGGAGAAAAACTACGTCAGTGCCTCCAATGGGCACTAGAAGATGCAGCATCAATATTAGGTATCTACTTAACATGCAGTTTCTGTCTGTGTGGCTGGAAAACCGGCCCAGGCACAAACGGCTGTACACGTGGAACAGCAGGAGTAGGACCCAGGTTAAGGGCCAGTACACCCAAGTATCATCTACAGTATTTGGAAATCTTACATGTGACAATTTTTTCTCCTAAAGCTTTTAAGATGCTTCAAAATAAATTATGCCACATTTTATTGTACTAAAAAAAATAAATTTACATTTATAACATTTGTTGTCAAGTTTTAGCACCCCTGGTGGCCTAACATAACTTTTGCATTAGCTTTGACTAATAATAAACATTGCAAATGAAAGACCAGAAAATCTAATTTAAAGTTGCCAGTATCGGCAACAGCAATCTGGAAAAAACAAAAAATTACATTTTTAAAAAACAGTTGCCTGTAAAATAAAAGTCTTGTTTCCCCAGAGTCAGGTATTTTTCTGAAAGCAATGGTTGCAGAAACAAAACTTGTTTCATTGCAATCAAACCTCAAACACATAACAGCTTTTTTTTTTTGCACAAAGAGGAAAAGTGACTTCCAACAACACTTGCACACACATGCAGGGATTCTGCTGAGCACTCACCATGCTTCCTGTTGACCTGATTCTGAGGGATGATGATCTGGCAGGAGTTGATGTCACCAGTGTTGGCAATGGGATGACTCAAGATACAGATGACTCTGATCACCTGACCCACTTTTTTTGCTCGATCCATAAGATAGCTGGGGTCGCAGATCAGCTGTTTGCATTTGGCAATCTGTGATGATAAAACACAGCCGAAGTGTCAAACGATTTTAGCTGATGGTAGAATAATACACTATTACAAGCCAAACACGTGCAACAGCACAGTAAATTAGCTAAAGATTAGCCATTATATTTTATAAGTAAACCTTTCAGCTGTCGCTTCAAGCCAAAAGCAGGAAGCTGGCGACTCCCTGCAACAGTTTGCTCACCTCTCCCTCAGACTTGACTCCCACCACCTTCCCGTTCTCCATCACAATCTCCTCAATGGGCTTGTTCAACATGTATGTCCCCCCATAGATAGCACTCAGCCTGGGAAGGAAGCAGACCAGAACACCCATCACACCTGACGCCTTGTTGAAAATGCTGATGGCAGCAGCACCAGCTCCTTTACAGGGTAGACTTTGAACATTTGCTGTTGACCAAAATGCAGAATATAACCTCTGAGTGATTAAATGTCGTCTCGCATCATCAATGAGGACGCATTTATGTTCCTTTGTGACCACAATATGTTCTCAGACATGTTTGCTTACATTTTAGTGTCTAAAAAGAGAACTTCCTCTGTAGGAGAGGAACCTCCACTAACAAACATATTACTACTAAAAGGGAGGAATAACAAACCTGTCTCATCTCCTAGGCACTAATAAAGAACATAGCATAGTAAAAGCCAGTTCAAGAGGACATTCTTATATGGTTCATAAAAATTCTAATTGAACAAAATGATGCGTCTCGTGGCATACAGGTGAGCAAGAGTCATACCTGGCAAAGCCTTGTGGCAGTTCTCCAAGCCCGTACAGAGGGTAGAGGTAAGGACTCTTGCCATATCTGGCTAGAGACTCACTGTAAAGCTTTATCCTGTTTATCGCATCGAGACAAGGTTTGTCCAGGTAGCTGAGGAAGGAGAAACGAAGACCAGCTTTAAACCACAGGAGCCGCCAGGCAGGAATCATACGACTATAAAGTCTGTAAGGACCACTGACTCATCTGTGCGGTACAGGGCCAGGGAGTGACCAGTGAAGTCAATAACTTCCTGTCCCAGGCTGAACTTCTGGAAAATGGCCCTCATCGTCGTGGTTTTGGGGTCAACACCTTCCATAGTCTTGGGATCGTTTTCGTCAAAGTTGGCAACAAAGATCAAGAACTTTCTGAAGCGCCTCTTCTCGAACAATCCCATGAGGCCTGCAAAGGAGAAGAGCCAGGATTCAGAGAAACTCGCTGCCTGATGTGAGAGAAAAAATAGTTTCACGTTTGACTAAACTTACTAGATGACAGAGCCTCGGTCTCAGTCGAGGGGACTTTATAGATTTTCCCTCCTTTGTAGACATAACTGCCTTCAATCACTTTGAAATCCAGGTAGCGAGTGACCTGTGTGATCAGCAACATGCGCACCAGCTGACCTGAACACACACACACACACACACACACACACACACACACACACACACACACACACACACACACACACACACACACACACACACACACACACACACACACACACACACACACACACACACACACACACACACACACACACACACACACACACACATTTCTAAACAGAGGCTGAGATTTCATAGATAATAAAACAATCTCTGTCTAAACAAAACACCAAAGGGCTGGAGAAAAATTATTTTTTTTTAAGTAAAACACTTTAATGCAGATACGAAGGTAACAGTGTAGTAAGTCTGCACCAAGCTGACATATCTAAGACAACTGAAGCAGGAGGAGACACTTGTGACTGAAGAGTACCATTTGCCATGAGGAACTTTGGGATGAGGTCCACATTCCAGTCCCGGCCTTTTCCCATAGAGGCAGGAAGTTCTCCAGGAATGTTGAAGCGCTTGAAGAGCTGTAGGGAAGAGCACAACTCCTGGTTTGATCCACAATCAGAAACTGAACAAAGACATTTACTTTAACAGGCTTAACGAGACCCCCATTATCAGAGAACACCACTGTCACAAGAGGCGCAGATAAAAGCTAAACACTGAATTCATCTGGATTTTAAACCCAACAAACAGAAATCCTACATCTGCGGTGTTTTCTTGTAGACACAGAACCGATGGGATGTATTAAAGATGACTTACATCGTCGAGAGGCGTGATGGAAGCGCTCTCAGCGCCGTAGTACGAGTTGCGATCCATGTGGAGAACCTTCTTCCCCTTCACAGACATGATGCCCGATAAAATGCATTCCTGGTGGGAGGGAGAAAATAAATGATTTTTTGTTCCAACTGCTTCCGCCTTGTTGAATAGATGCAAGACATAAATGTGTCTGTGATCACACTATTTGTTCCTTATTACTTTTCAGTGATCTTGGCCCGTGACCAACTCCGCCTGAGAGAGCTCAAATGTTTCATAATTCATGAACTTTTGGGGGCTATTTCTATTCAATTGTTGAAAATTTATTTAGAATTAAAATCATTAGAAAAAGACAGACTCCAGTGTTCCATTCATGTTAAACCCTTCAGATCAGAAGCTTTTTAATGGAGCAGGGAGAATTAAAGCAGGGTGAGTAAAATGGACACATTTTATGTTGCTGAGAACTTCTGCTCATTTAACACTTTAAAGCGATTACTCCACATTTGTGGAATTATGTGAATGAAGTCAGTTTCATGCAACTGCAAACTTTAAAACAAGCTTTACTATTTAACAAGAGTTTAAAAACACAAAAGGCATGCAGTTCAACTTGTTACTCTGACTCTTAATAGAAGAAACAAACGGAGCAAGTTTATGTTCTGGTTTACTTTAACAGACGGTGCAGGAAGTGCCTTGTTTGGTCCCTCTTGGTATTTTTCCCCATAATGCAAGTTAACCTCGTTAAACCCCGTCTTAAAGTTTGCGTCACATGATCAAGACTGACTTACAGGCTGCTCCCGCTCCTTTTGCACATTCCAGCTGCTGGTTAAGTTATCCTTTTATGACAATCCTGGTAGGAAGCTACGACCAATGTTCAATTTTGTTGACGTTTAAATGCTTTCCATCCTCCAAAATAAAGACTATGAAGAGTCTGTATGAGGATATGAATGTTCCCTATCCAATGGAAAAGTCAAGACACTGCTGGAAACCCTTGTGCTTAAACGCATCAGGAGTTCAGATCCCACGTGCCGTAATAGTAGGGCTTCTCCACTAAACTGGTCGCAGCACTAGAATTGGTTCCAACTTCGATCTGTAAGTTATCGGTTTTAGATGTCAAGAGAATCCTGAAGCAACGATAGATCAAATTATAAACTTAATCACTAGTGTAGCTTAGAAATTCTGTGTGAAACAGCTGGTGTTTGTGAACGCACTCGTCTGATCAGAATCTGAACATGCTGCTGCAAACTGGAGTTACAGCTGATGTCTCAAGCAGGACCATAAAACACACTGGTAATGAACAATGTTATCGTTTTGAAAATATATTTTAAGATGCCTTTATTACTTAAAAGTTTTATCTGTGAGGCTAGTTGGTGTTTTTAATTATGCAACGGACAAAAATAAACCAAAAAACTGCAGGAAGACAGAGCTTGTGTAATTCCTGCTAATCTGTCATCGTATTAAAGTAAAAGTTGACTATTTTGTGTAAGCAAGAGCCAGAGAGAAGCAAACACTTTCATAGATTGTTGCTTCTCTTTGAGCCGGCCTCCCATTCCTTACAAGAGTAGTTTCTTTCTCTGGCCCAGTAGTAAGTACATACCAGTACTGGTGTTAAGCCAATCCCATCACCGGTTCAAATCTGGAACCAGATAGGTGAAAAAGTCCAATAACAGGTCCTCATTCATCTAGAACTGCAGAAGGTTTCCACTTGGTTCACACTAAAAATGAAAAGTCATGTTACTTTGATCTAGGGTTGGGCGATATGGCCCAGTAAAAATGGGAAAAATTATCTCAATAAGAGTCAGAAATGTTGACAACGATAAATTGATTTATCGCCCAGCCCAACTTTGATCTCTTTATGGTGCACCAACCTAACCTAAGACTGGACTTCTGGGCCACTTATTAAAATTTACAAGTACAACATATCACTGACCACAAATAAGGAGCCATCTAAAATTACATTCAGTGTCATAACAAGTAGGATGTTTTTAAACAAGAGCAACATTAACCTAACCCCTACATAGACATCAGAGCTATAATATAATAATGGAGTAATCAAATTATTATGTGATCAGAGCTCAACATGGATACTAGGGATGTAAGAAAATATCGATATGGCAATATATCTGGGTAACTTTTTCAGTGATATATCGAAATTCAAAAGCTGTGTATCAAAAATATCGATATGGCAGTATATAGTGATATTTTTTCCAGCAATATTGTATTGATATTCAAAAGCCATGCATCCATTTATTGGAAGAATTTACATGCAAACGTGTGCATTTTCTTTTCTTTTGGTGCAATTTAAAGGCTGACCACTAGTTGGCAGTAGTGTGCAGTGAGTTTTCTTTCCACCACTGAAATGTAAATTCCTCTATTATGTTTCAGATGCCTCATGTTTGGACTCTTTACTGAAACATATGCATGGATGCATTGGACAGCAGTGAGGATGACGTTCTGTGAGAAGTCGGCGGGTGTAGCAATCTGATGGTACACCCCACAGCAGCATGAGTGAGAATGAGAGTGAGTGAGTACAGCGAGGCAGAGGGCATCTGAATAAAAGCCTCATTTGACTTTTGATTTCACAAGTCATCAAAGTTCTGAAATTTTGTAGTAAAATAGTATTGTTCCTGAAGATTAGTCTTGGAAAGGGGGCTCATCTTATAATCTAGGTCGTCCTTTCTTCGGGTTAATACGGTATTTAAAGTGAATAGTATATTTAAAGCTAAATTTGTAATTGGTTATATTTTAAGTTAATTAAATAAATGTGTTGTTTAAAGTATACAAGTGTTCAATGTGAGAAGCTGAACCTTTAATGTGCAGGCATTTCAAAATAAACTATCAAGTCCTTGAACTCTTGCTGCCTTCGGAAGGTTATACTGGTAAAAGCTCTTACTGGCCCTTCCCCAAAGGCAAATAGCTTAGAGAGGATTCTATCAGCAAGTTCGTGACTGGCTGAAAGTTAGCATGAAGCATACAACAAACAAGAAGTGTGTGTAAAAATAAATTGTGCAGTGAATGGTTACACTGGAAAAAAATCAATCAAGTTGTGTTTTTTGTATTTATAGAGCACAGAATTCAACAGCAGCACAAACAAACAAAGCACCCCTCAGTTGTTCTGCATTCTCTGTTATTCATACAGAGATTAGATTTCACACTTTTTCTGTTTATTAAATCAAGTTTCTCATTTTCAAATTTCCAGATTTCCTAGCCAACATTATGGCCACTTTTTAGATATTTCATTTAATTTTTAAAAAGCCTTAGAACATAAACAAATTATGCAACGAGCCACTATTTGTTGAATATGTTTTGTTAACCAACTGTAGTGATGACCCCTACCATCACAGCTATCCAGTTTTCAAGGCTGAGATTGAAAGGGGAGGATAAACAAGTTTTAGGCAGGAAAAAAAGAAGCCAAATGAAAACAGGACATAAAAGCAAACATAAGTGAGATCTATGTTTAAACTAAAAACAACTTATGAGATAAAGATCCTTGGGTCAAAATGTAGCGTTTAGCATTTTAGAGCCAATTACAAAGTTCTCTAATGGGTTTACTTATTAACATCACATGCACTGCATGCGTCCATTTCTAATAAGACATCTGGTTTGATTAGTATGGTGGCCCATACGTTTTAACAACTAGAGTCACAACATGAATAAAACATTTAAGTCCGCAAAGTAATACTTAAACCTGAAGTAAAACAATCCAACAATAAAACTGCATAAAGAGAAGTTGTGGTCAACTGGAGCCCATGCTTAAACTGAAGTTATGGTAATAGCCAAGTTAAATCAAAAACACAAGTCAATGACATTTTTGACTGAATGGGTTTTTTTTCTGGTGTCATGCTAATGTAGTTTTCAATCAAGCTTTATTTTATTTGTATAGCACTTTTCATACAAAAGAACATGCAGCTCAAAGTGCTTTACAGATTAAAATGACCCCATATAACCTATATTTCCATCACTTACACACAAAAAAAATAAAAAAATAAATAATAAAAAAAATATATATATATATCCCCAATCCCACAACCCATTTCCCAGGCACACACACAAACACACACAACCTAAAAAAACAGCATAAGTAAACACTAGGCTGAGTTCAGATGGGTTAGGTATTGAATGACACGCCATCAGGTGAGCCATCTGCCTCAGCAGTAGTTGACTGATGGCAGCAGCCACGGCACCAGTTTTTCCCAACAGAATGTGGATCCCCTACATCAGGAGAGTGCATCGGGCAGGAAGCATAAACCCAGTTGACTGACTTTTATCTTAACTAACTAGATGTGGAACTATTACTTTTATGGTAAAATGAAAGACAAGTGTTGTGTTACTTAATCATTCATTTGATGGTGATTGTTCTCACGTGGTATTGCACAAGATTATTTCAATACACCAGAGATTTTTGCTTTACGATTGCATTATCACGTCTGCATAAAACTATCAGTATACATTTTAACGCACAATAATTAAACAGCTGTTTTCATAAGTCCCTATAAAACATGAACTCTGAATATTTACTTTCTTATAAAACAAATTTCAGTAGTTTGTGCAAATACTTGACAACATGAATCAAATGTCATGTAATCCAATAAAAACTGAATAAAGTAAGGTCCAAAATTATTCAGAATTTTAAAGTGATTTCCATTCAGCCAAGTAGTAACTACAAATGTAAAATGAGTAAAACTTGTTTCATTGTTGTTATTGAGAGTTCTACTTTACTAAAACCTTCACAGTGCAGCTTTTCTTATGAACTTTTATTTAATTGACCCCTATGAGCGACCTTAAATTACTGCATCTAATTATTAGTGGGATGCAAAAAGAGGAGGGCAGAAGTGAAATCACTGATAGAAGACTGAACATTAACGAGCCATTAAACATTATTTTGGTTTAAATTATGATCAGTTTGCTGGAAACCAGAACCGAAGGGCTGGGCTTCATAGTACATGCTGCATACATTCACTTCCACTCTTGGCAAGGCCACACCCAAAACTGGGCTTAAATATCCCACCAAAGTCATCCAACACTTCTCAGTGTCTGCACTTCACCCATCCAGCTACACCTTCCGTTTTTTGGGTTAGGGTTTGTTGTCGATTTGCTTGCTTTCTGTTTTGCTTGCTGAACAAGCATAGGCAGAAACCTAAATTAGCAGCATTTGAATTGTACCAAAACGTTCAAGAGATTAAAGAGTCTCATATTTTATCATTTTGCTCCTCCGATTTGACACGAATCTGCCCACTGACCTGCAATAAAAACAATCACGGGATCTACGACTTGTTTTCAGTCAAATAAAACCAGCAAGTCGGGAAGTAAAACTCTCTCTATAAAACTGTCGCCTAAGTTGGCAACGATCAGTTAGGGAAACACCAACCATAGTGATGCCCACTACATGGAATACTAAACTATCCTAATTGAGAGAAGATGATTCATATTAATCATATCGAAGAAAAAATAAATTTAAGGTAATCCACAACTAACGTGCGGATAGCACCAACTGAAAATAATCCCGGGATTTTGTTAACGATAAATCGTTTTAGCGGCTTTATTCAAATTAATAAAAGCACAGGCTTATACCACTTTGCTGAATGATAGATAAATTAAGCATGTACAATTGTAGAGCTAAAGTTTTGAAGTCCATCGAGCTAACGCATAAAAAGGAAAATGTTACATGTTAAGTGCAAAAAGCTGATAAAACGATGTTAGCGTGACATACTCGGATATCTTGTTATCAAAATCCGTGTAAAAATTCTTGGAAGTTTAAAAAAAGTCGCTCTTGAATCGTTAGCAGGCTAATTATTTAGCTAACTAGCGGATTTATCCGCCCTATAATCTCGTTGTGACTGGATAAAGTTATTTAAAAGTGGTGCTGTAGTTATAATGAGAAGTGGAACGAAAGAGTGGACTAAAGTCAAAATATTATTTTCTTAATTTGTAAGCATACGTTGGGACTGGTCTTGTGCAAGTTTCCAGGTGGTTTAGTTGATCTTCTCCTCGAGCTAAAGTGCTAGCACTGTGCTAGCTCTGTCCATTCCATGTTGTTGCCCACTCTGGTTAGCGGCTAAGCTAGCGAGTTAGCGTTAGCCCAGCCTGTTAGGCCCAGTTAGCTCAAAGCCAAGCTGTCAAACGATTACTGCGCTGGTATCCGGGCTCAGATTACGTGTATGCTGCATATGTCATTGTTGGCCACATTCTTACCGTTAGCCCGGTGCCCAGAACGATCACGTCGTATTCTTCATTCATTTTCAAAGCCTTGAATCTCCTGGATATCGGGTAAGAAGAAAATGGAGCTCCGTTGGGCTGAAAACAAGACGGGGCTGCGGTTTAGCGTCAGGCGCTGCTGGGAGGGGCCTACGGCCGTCAGTCACTGAAGAGGCGCACGTTCGGGCCTACTTTAAACAGCTGAGGTGCAACAAGGACGTAAAATACCGCATAAGTAGATAAGGCACCGTTCTTCTTTCCAGTTGTTTAAAGTCAATATCACCCAAACTTGCTTTTAATTTTACATCAATAGGCTATTTCATTTGATTTGCCTGTTTGAACCACATCCATGATTGACACACCTGTTAAATAACCCCAATAACAATGGAGCTGGTCTCTAGTTGGCCAGTCAGAAAGTCAAATGTTAAAAGGTAAAAACTATAACCCATTATAGGAGACAAAACAACTCTTAGCCAAAGTTTATTCAGTTTTTGAAACAGTCCACTAACACAAAACAACATGATGACAGCCTGCAAAATAAATAAAATTATCAGTCTTCCTATAAATATTTGTTTACATTTTGTGTTTCAGGTTTCTGATGAGCTGTACCGGCATTATGGAAGGTATCAACCATCAACTAAATGCTCTGATAACAGTAAATTTATTTTTGCACACTCAATCTAAACCTGGACATGAGGCGTTGCTTAAAACTAACCAAGCTGACCCAATTCAAGTTAAATAAAAAGCATTACTGCTGATTTTCTTAAACTAATTGTGAATAAGCAGTTTCAAGTGTGTTGGTTTGAACTCATGATGAAACTGTCGGGCTACATGTGAACGCTTCCACCACGGCTGGTTTCCTGGCCAGTTGCTGTGCTCTTGTGCCACACGCGTCCTCTGAGTCTTTCAGACCGAGCATCAGCAGCATCCTGACCGCCTCTGCGTGCTGCCCAATGCAAGCCATGTGAAGAGCTAACAGAAAGAAAAGAAAAAAACAATACAGCAGGGAAGTAAACATTTATTTACTTTTTCTAAGACGAAATCTCTAAATTATATTCTATTCAGGTACAAATCTAACACAAAGCGGTTGTTTGCTGTAGTCTCCAGTGGGTTTGTTTTGATGACGACATGAATAAATGCTCATCCGAAGTTGATTTTCCGATTTTAATGAATTGTTGAATTGTACAATTCTGAAGAAATATTAATTATGGCTACAGTTTCTGTAAACATGGTGACGAGAGTTCCAAAATTTGAACAGTTTTCTTGACGAGAAACCTGCATGAAATATTCTAAAGCTTTAAGGACGTTAAAGTGTGATTAAATATGATATAAATGAACACACTTACCAGTCCGTCCCTTCGTGTCCTGAACAAATAGATCTGCTCCCAGTTCCAGCAGCGTTTTTATCATAGACGTGTGACCCTCCTGAACAAATAAATACAGCTTTTATTATGATTAAACTGTAGTTATCGTAGAATCACTTATAGGAGGATCCCAAAGTCATAGAACTTTTGTTTTTGCCACAATAATCATCACCTGCCTCTCACATATTTTATTTTCAACTCCTACAAATAGAAAAGGTTTTTATTTGAACATCTGGAATAAAAACCAACGAGTAGCAGAGTACAGCATAGCAGAATAATAAAAACCAACCAAAAACTCAAAACATAATGATGACAAGAACAATAGTATAGAAATACTTTGCAGTTTGGCTTGCTTTTAGCACCCTCTAGTGTCCGTTAGTCAAAGCGAAAGTGAAACTTATCTCGCTGTGCTTTTAAACACAGAGAGAAGTATAGATTAAAAAGGGTAAACAGCTATTTTCAGAGCAAGGCTGATTCTGGGGTCTCAAATAAGCTTGTATCAGCGCTCCTGGAAATTTCTTAATGCTTTTTAGAGGCTCAAATCACTGTTTTAGACTTTTGATTAACAGCATTTTAGCTCCTCTTTAATCTAACTGCTGAAACGTCTCCTCAGCCTTCCTCAGTGCCAACAGGAGCAGTCCATCACTACATCAAACACATCAGCTGTGTTTGTGATCTAAAACAAACGGGAAAGGTGCTGGAAGCATACTGCAGCGCCAGGCATGTCAGCTCCACTTCAACAGGGACCGGACCGGCACTCTGAAGCTGCAAGTGCGATATTCTGGCCACACAAGGCGGTGGGGGTCTGAATGACATTTCAGGATTTTTTTGAGCACACACTGGCTCAAGAAAATGATTTTTAAAATGAAAAAGTTGCATAGAATGGCATGGCTTTATACTTGTCAATACTATGACAAGTTATTAATATGTAAATGTTCTAAAGGAGCAGGAAGAACCCTAATCTTATTTAATCTCATCCTTACTCTACATAATTAATTAATGTTTAGTTAATTTTCTCTGTTTATGAAATGTATGCTTAAGTCTAATTAACCCCTCATTATCATACTGAATAATCCTTGAGCTTCCTGCCCACTGTTGAACATCCAACAAACATTATGACCTAAAATATTAACATGACATTTTCTAAAGGCATTCAAACAGTTCAAACAGGAAATACTAATACTGGAAAATGGAATCACAGGCAATCTGCAGTGGTAAACAACACATAAAATAACACAAACACTGTCGTAACCTTTGCTGCGTAGTGCAGGGCAGTGAGCTGGATGCCAGTGGCTCTCTGGTTCACGTCAACTCCAAGTTCCTGCACCAAAAATCTCAGGGCCTCCTCGTGGCCAGTGACGGCGACCTGGTGCACAGGCTGAGCCCCGAGCACATCAGCTGCTAAAGGAGATGCCTGCCAGACATAGGTCAGGTGAAAAAAGCATGTGAATGTTTACAAAAGCACTTAAATATAACTGACGCTTTGTCCCACCTGGTGTTTCTCCAACAGCAGCCTGGCCACAGAGACATGCCCATTCCTAACAGCATCCATGAAAGGGGTGACTCCACAGCTGTCTGTGTCATCTGGGGTGTAGCCACATCTGGAAATGAACCAGTTGTGTAATAAAACACTCTGGATTTATAGTCTCTTACTGCGACATGGATTGCTGTGCACAAGTCTCTAGCCAACCCGGGGAAAATAGAAATTAGGCATAATAATAATAATACATTTTAAACCTACCTCTCCAATAAGATTCTAACAACCTCTTCACAGCCGTGCATTGCTGGATAAAAAGCAGATAACATCTAGATTTTAGATTAAACTCTTCTTGGCAATCAATTTATACTTTGCAAACTGTTCTAAATGCTCATGAGGATGCTTCACCTGCTGTGTGCAGTGGTGTTCTACCCGTTTTGCTCTTAGTCCTCCAGATGTCTGGTGCTGCAAGAAGCAGGTGCTCGATGACCAGAGGATCACCCTCCCTGCAGGCGATGTGGAAGGAATTCCAGCCATCTTTGTTTCTCAGACCTGGGTCTGCACCATGGGACAGCAGCTCCTGAATCACATCGAGGTTCTTCCGCGTGCACGCCATCATGAGAGGAGTCCTGGGAGAGAAGATGCAGAATTAATTTGGTTAAGTGTAGTTGGTGAAAGCCAGAAGTTTGATTACTAAACTAATACAGATGGGGTTTTTTCTTGCATGTTATTAAACCAGATATTCAGATAGAACTTCATTAATCCCTCAGGAGTTTCCACTTCCAGCAGTGACACATGGACATAAAGAAGATAACAGTTTTAAAAAGTATGGGGAAAAGACCTATAATAAAAGGGATAATAATAATAATAATAATAATAATAATGTAAAATAAATATATGTAAAAGTGGAAAATACAGAAATATATCAGCTTTATTTACACAAGATAGTGAAGGTGTGAAAAACCTTACATAAATCTCATAAATTAAGAAAATATAATCAATTTTAACGAATATTTAACATAAAGTATTCAAATAGAAATGTATGAGTAGTCCCAATAAAAATGTTTGTACGTATGTGACATCATTCAACAATTTATAAAATGTTCATGTTAAACAAAAAATCATTCTCCTTCGAGCCGGATTCGAACCAGCGACCTAAGGATTTCAGCGTCAAGCCTCTACAGTCCTCCGCTCTACCAACTGAGCTATCGAAGGGAACCTGTGGTATGCTGCCGCACAGTCGTCCTATAAGGGAAATGTTGTTAAAGTGGCATAATGCTTTCTATAGCTTTCACTTTTCTTATTAAAATGCTATTTTTTATTTCATTATTCTTTTAATTCTCACCAGTCTGCTTTTTTTAAGCTGTCCACCACGGCTCGTTCCCGGAGCAGATAACTGACACACTCCTTGTGGCCCATGGAGGCAGCTTCGTGCAGCGGTCTCTTATAATCGTTGTTATACACTTCCACATCAGCGCCAAGCTGCTTTATAAAATATTCCACGACGTCTAAATGTCCGTGTCTAGCAGCGTAGTGCAGTAGGGTGTCTCCTGACCGCCCGAAGTGTTCGCTGATTACAGATGAGCCCAGCAATTTAATCTGCTTCTCCAGACAGCTCAGCCGTCCCTCCTGAGTGAGTTTCACCAGCAACTTTAAGGTGTTTTCATCCATTCTGCTCGGGTTTAAAACCCTACTGCTGGACCATGAGGTGTTTTACTGAGCAAATTGACAGAAACTGTCGAGGACACGCTGGATGGAAGTGTTTACAAGCAGGAGAGCAGCGGAAGAAATTAGATGGCCGACCATGACGTTACACGGCGCTCCTTACTCTGGGAATAAAAAGTAAAATTCTTCTCTAAATAATTTAAATATAGTCAAAGAGAAAATAATTTGCTTGTGGATTTAGCTGTGATTTGTTTATAATGGCGCAAACATTATTATTAAAAGCAGAAAATGTTTCATGCGTTACAATACCAGGGAAGATAAATCCTGCAAAAAATGTTTGCAAAAAACTTGAAAGACAATCCATGACAAACTTTTAAATAGCAAGATAAGCTAAAGCTTTAAATAAGGTGTGTACATTTGAAGGTAACGCAAATGGCTCCAGAAATACAAACCTTAGATAGCTTGTTGTTTCAATCAGTGATGGATTGTAGGAAACCTAGTGTTTATTGCATTGCTGAAAAACTGTTCAAAACTGTTAACAAGTTAAGGACAGTGCATCACAAAAAGTCTGTTCTATAAGGTGTTTTTATTCTCTCTGTGTTTAAATTTAAAGGCTGTTATATTGTTAAATCTACCATATTGTAATGAATGTGCTTTTAACTAAACACATTTGCCCCTTTGTTAATTTGCTCAATACAGATTTAGGAAATAAACACATTTTAAAATAGCTTTTTTACAGATTTAAAATTTTGTTTTACAATCAGCTCTCATTTTAGGTTCCAGCCTATGGTTCCAGCTCACAGCTGTTGCTGATACAAATGTAAATTGTTTCATAGAGAGCGGCTCATACTGACACAGCAGAAGAAAAGAAAATCCAGTCTCTGGCTGCATGACAGTGAGGAGTAGAACCCTGGTGAACTAGAGGAGTCACATCTGGTTGGAGGAAGGGGAGAAAAGAAAAAGAGGGAGGCTAAGCTGGGTTGTTTGCATGAGTTATTCTCATGTGTTTCACAATTTTACAACATGGACTGTGAAACCCAGGGATAAGACAAAGAATACCCGTCTTTTTCTGGTGAGTATGTCTCAAATTGTGTTAAACCTAAGGAGAACATCTGCATGGTTACACTAGAAAACACTCTAACGTAACTTAACTTTAACCGGATTTTTATGTGATAAATACTACACGATGCGTCCTAAATGAAAAACTTGTTGAGCAAAGAAACTTAATCATTTTAATCTGCTGTCTTTTGCTTGCAGCCACAGTTAAACTGAAACAGCCCAAGCATGTTCTAGACTGAGAAAGCTCACTAACCAACTCTTAAACTGGGGATTATTCTCCTAGACCATGGTTACTTCCTGTCTTTGTCATCATTTGGGCTCCTGACCCCCCTCTCCACCATCAGACTAAAGCAAACATAAAAGACTCATCTGACAAGAGCAGAGGGACGTTTGTGTCTAATGTTTTTTAAAAGAAAAAAAAGTACAAAGAACAGGAATACACCATTACAGAGTGAGTTGAACCAATGTAAAACAGGGATGATCCAGAGGGTAGAATAATTTTTTTAAAACAAAACAGCTTCTAGTGTTTTAGCTCCTCTAAAGGACGACTAACAAGCTGAAGTATGCACTGCACCGCTGCACATCCTGTTTCCGTTCTACTGACTTCTGACACTCTGCAGCATGGTAGAAGAGGAGAATGTGTCACGTATAAAGTCTCAGCTGTTTTACTTTTTGTGGTTTTAACACTCAAGAGTGGTTTTACGTAAACTACTAAATGCTCGACTGACTCCACGAAAGGTGACAGAGGAAGTGAGATTAGAGTTTTGATCACTTGAAATATGTAGAAGTTATAAATGCTGGAAGGCAAAGAGATTCCTCGGATTAGGCCTGGCACCAGCCAGGAAGGAAATGGTCCGGAGAGAAAAGGCCACATGTGTTTGCCAGTGGCTGAATTACTTCATTAAGGTCAGATCACAAACCACAGTTTGTCACAGTCAAAACGGGACTTTAGGATGAATTAATGTCAGCAATCAAATATGTTAAAGCTGTGTGTTTTGATGCATTTGGCAAGAAACTGGGTTTTCTGGAAAAGCAGAATCCTCCAGAGGAATTCTCTGTCCTGTTTACAGCAAAATGCTCTTTGTTCTTTATTTCTGTGATGGAAAGTCTGATTTTTTTTTACAATCACGGAGTAACAACATGAACACTATTTGCTCTTAAAAACTAAAAGACATTCCCAGAGTGTGTAAATAATAAATAATAAAATGTCTTTTTCTGAGTCTTCTGAAGCCCGTAGAGAGGAGAAGGCTGCATGAACTGCTTGTAATCACTACACAGTAATAAATTCCTTCGTCTTCGTCTTCGTCTTCGTCTTCCTCCGCTTATCCGTGTCCGGGTCCGGGTCGCGGGGGCAGCATCCCAACTAGGGAGCTCCAGGCCGTCCTCTCCCCAGCCTTGTCCACCAGCTCCTCCGGCAGGACCCCAAGGCGTTCCCGGACCAGATTGGAGATGTAACCTCTCCAACGTGTCCTGGGTCGACCCGGGGGCCTTCTGCCGGCAGGACATGCCCGAAACACCTCCCCGGGGAGGCGTCCAGGAGGCATCCTGACCAGATGCCCAAACCAACTCAACTGGCTCCTTTCGATCCGGAGGGGCAGCGGTTCTACTCCGAGTCCCTCCCGAATGTCCGAGCTCCTCACCCTATCTCTAAGGCTGAGCCCGGCCACCCTACGGAGGAAACTCATTTCGGCCGCTTGTATCCGCGATCTCGTTCTTTCGGTCATTACCCAAAGCTCATGACCATAGGTGAGGATTGGGACGTAGATCGACTGGTAAATCGAGAGCCTGGCTTTCTGGCTCAGCTCCCTCTTCCCCACGACAGATCGGCTCAGCATCCGCATCACTGCAGACGCCGAACCAATCCGCCTGTCGATCTCCCGATCCCTCCTACCCTCACTCGTGAACAAGACCCCGAGATACTTAAACTCCTCCACTTGAGGTAGGACCTCTTCCCCGACCCGGAGGTGGCAAGCCACCCTTTTCCGGTCGAGAACCATGGTCTCAGATTTGGAGGTGCTGATCCTCATCCCAGCCGCTTCACATTCGGCCGCGAACCTACCCAGCAAGAGCTGAAGGTCAGAGCTGGATGAAGCTAGGAGGACCACATCATCCGCAAAAAGCAGAGACGAGATTCTCCTGCCACCAAACTCGACACACTCCACACCACGGCTGCGTCTAGAAATTCTGTCCATAAAAGTGATGAACAGAACCGGTGACAAAGGGCAGCCCTGGCGGAGTCCAACCCTCACTGGGAACAGGTCCGACTTACTACCGGCTATGCGGACCAAACTCACGCTCCTCTGGTAAAGGGACTGAATGGCCCTTAACAGAAAGCCACCCACCCCATACTCCTGGAGCGTCCCCCACAGGGTGCCCCTGGGGACACGGTCATAAGCCTTCTCCAAATCCACAAAGCACATGTGGATTGGTTGGGCAAACTCCCATACCCCCTCCATCACCCTTGCAAGGGTATAGAGCTGGTCCACAGTTCCACGGCCAGGACGAAAACCACATTGCTCCTCCTCTATCTGAGATTCAACTATCGATCGGACCCTCCTCTCCAGTACCTTGGAGTAGACCTTTCCAGGGAGGCTGAGGAGTGTGATCCCCCTATAGTTGGAACACACCCTCAGGTCACCCTTCTTAAAGATGGGGACCACCACCCCGGTCTGCCACTCCCTAGGAACTGCCCCCGATGACCACGCAATGTTGTAGAGACGTGTAAACCATGACAGCCCTACAACATCCATAGCCTTGAGATACCCAGGACGAACCTCATCCGCCCCCGGGTCTCCGCCGCTGTGTAGTTGTTTGACTACCTCAGCAACTTCTGCCCCCGAGATCGGACAGTCCATCCCCAGGCCTCCCAGCTCTGGTTCCTCCTCGGAATGCGCATTGGTGGGATTGAGGAGCTCCTCAAAGTATTCCTTCCACCGTCCGACTATAGCCTCAGTTGACGTCAGCAGCTCCCCATCCCCACTGTAAACAGTGTGAGCGAGTTGCTGCCTTCCTCTCCTGAGGCGCCGGACAGTTTGCCAGAACCTCTTTGGAGCCGATCGATAGTCTTTCTCCATGGCCTCACCAAACTCCTCCCACGCCTGAGATTTTGCCTCGGCAACTGCCACTGCTGCACCCCGCTTGGCTATCCGGTACCTGTCTGCTGCCTCCGGAGACCCACAGACCAGCCACGCCCTGTAGGCCTCCTTCTTCAGCCTGACGGCTCCCCGAACCTCTGGTGTCCACCAGCGGGTACGGGGGTTGCCACCACGGTTGCCACCGGCCACCTTACGACCACAGCTAGCAACGGCCGCCTCGACAATCGCAGAGTGGAACAAGGCCCACTCGGACTCAATGTCCCCCACTGCTCTCGGGACGTGGTCAAAGCTCTGCCGGAGGTGGGAGTTGAAGACCGTCTTGACAGGTTCTTCTGCCAGGCGTTCCCAGCAGACCCTCACTATGCGTTTGGGTCTGCCAGGTCTACGCGGCATGTTCCCTTGCCATCTGATCCAACTCACCACCAGGTGGTGATCAGTTGACAGCTCCGCCCCTCTCTTCACTCGGGTGTCCAAAACATACGGCCGCAGGTCAGATGATACGACTACAAAATCTATCATTGACCTGTGACCTAGGCTGCCCTGGTACCAAGTGTACCGGTGGGCATCCTTATGTTCGAACATGGTGTTCGTTATGGCCAAACTGCGACTTGCACAGAAGTCCAATAACAAAACACCGCTCGAGTTCTGATTAGGTGGGCCGTTCCTCCCAATCACACCCCTCCAGGTCAAGCTGTCATTGCCCACGTGAGCATTGAAGTCCCCCAGCAGGACAATGGAGTCCCCTGATGGAGCACTATCTAGCACTCGTCCCAGGGACTCCAAAAAGGGTGGGTACTCTGAACTGATATTTGGCCCATAAGCACAAACAACAGTCAAGACCCGTTCCCCGACCCGAAGGCGCAAGGAAGCTACCCTCTTGTCCCCCGGGGTAAACCCCAACACACAGGCAGAGAGTCTCGGGGCTAACAAAAAGCCAACCCCAGCCCTCCGCCTCTCACCCGGAGCAACTCCAGCAAAGTAGAGTGTCCAACCCCTCTCCAGGTCTCGGGTTCCAGAGCCAATGCAATGTGTCGAGGTGAGTCCGACTATATCTAGCCGGTAACGCTCAACCTCTGCCACAGGCTCCGGCTCCTTCCCCGCCAGCGAGGTGACGTTCCATGTCCCAAAAACTAGTTTTCTTGTCCGGGGATTGGACCGCCAAGGCTCCCGCCTTGGTCTGCCACCCGATTCGCATTGCACCGGACCCTTCATGTTCCTCCTGCGGGTGGTGGGTCCACAGTTGGACGAGCCCATGTATCCGGTTCGGGCTGGGCCCGGCCGGGCCCCATGGGTGAAAGCCCGGCCACCAGGCGCTCGCTCACGGGCCCCAACCCCAGGCCTGGCTCCAGGGTGGGACCCCGGTAACCCTCCGGGCCGGGTACTCCGACTCTTCGTTTTAACCGCCATGAAAGATCCTTCGAACCATTCTTTGTCTCACCCTTCACCTAAGACCAATTTGTCATGGGAGACCCTACCAGGGGCACTAAGTGCCCCAGACAACATAGCTCCTAGGATCATTAGGGCACTCAAACTCCTCCACCACGATAAGGTGACGGTTCAAGGAGAAGGTAATAAATTCCTGTTAAATAAAAACATGCTAAATCATTAAAACCACAGACATCGTATAATAGACGTGGCGTGGACTGGCGTTGCCTATTGGAGCTGGAGTAGCAGCGGGCTGCCATCTTGGATGGCCCCAGTGCATTTATTTACACTGAAACAAAAAATACACACATTTTAATGTACTTTTTCACAAAATCAGATGTATGGCATGATAGTTAACTTATAAATATAATATAATGTAATGTTATGTGATATAGATATTAAATTAGCATTGCATTCTGGGAATTTTTTAAACAGAGTGAGACTGTGTTTCACAAAACATCATGTGGAAGAAAACTATGACATCACTTCCTGAGAAGTATTCATCTCAATGTCAAGGGTTTTTGAGCACATCGTGCTGTAAGTAGAGCTGTTTTCATCCGCCTTGTTTCATTTGCTGGTTTTCTACTTCTGGTGACTCACCCAAACTAATTTCCTGCAGGAAGCCCCGAACAACAGCTCCTAGGCTCACAGGGCCTCCGTAAATAAATCCGTTGTTGTTTTCAGGAGTTGAACCAAGTCTTGGTTCACCAGTGGTTTACATCAGAAAAGTTCATGCAGATCCAGTTTAATCTAAACCATCAGAGCCAAACCAGCCTCACATGATGTTTCAGGTCACATCAAAGATGATGTGTGAGCATTTAGACAAACATAATTTGGGTCCATCTGAAAAAAGCAAAGCTAAATCCTCTAATATGAACTTCTCTCTGCTCAGCGTGCCTGTGGTAAATCCAAATAAATAAAGTCCTCTCTCCTCCTGTTGATTTGACGTGTGTGTGTGTGTGGGTGGCTTTACAGCATAGCTCATGTTCTCCGTTTGTGTTGGTTTCCTTCTGCCAGTTAGAGATGCACTGATTCCATGCGTGGCGATCTTAACAGAAACAGTGTATGATGATTTATGTGAAGCACAGCCTGTTGGGTCATGCTGTCCCTGTGATTATCAGACAAAGCTCCCGATAAAACGCGGATTGAACTGTGCTGTTCTCAAATGACGTCTTCTGTTTTTCTTCCTTTCTTGTCGCAGACGCTGCTAAAAGTAAATATGAAATATGCCTCTCCTGAGAAAACGTGAGTACAGTTAAATTGGAATAATAAAAACATTGTGATGTTGTGTTTGAACTTGTCCTCCATCAGGGACAAAAACCTACACGAGGATCTGCTCCTGGTGTTCACTGGATTGTTGCTTTGTCCAAACTCCAAGTTTCCATCATAAATTAAATCTAGGAAGTCTTAGGAGTCTTTCTAACAGGCCAAAAGGAAAAGAAAAGCAAATTCAGAACATTTCTAACTGATCTAGAAAACTTGAATTTTAAATGATTGGTGATGTTTAGGTTGGGGACAGTGAGGTTTCAGTGACATGCAGTTAAAATAAGACTTTGGATGTTTAGCAGTTATTATGATAGGTCAGACCTCTTTGATGCAGCATGATGATCAGCACCAAATAAAAGAAACTGACTGAATACAGATGTTCTTTGCAGGGTCTTCAGGTGTGTAATTATAACAGAGGTGCATAATGTGGAGCAGAGGTCTGACCCTGGTCGTTGCAGAGCCACTATCCTTGCGGTTGCCCTGTTCCTAAACTCCTGATTCAATGGTTGAATCTGCAGAAGCTCTGATTAAAATCAGGTGTGCTGGAGCAGGGAAACAATGAAAGCATGCTGAATAATGGCGTTCCAGGACCAGGGTTGGGTACAGCTGGTTTTCAGCATGCACAAAGCATCTGTAGGGAGGTTGTGGTGGTTTGTCTTTGTGGTGGAAGCATATTGGACCTCTGGGTGGAGCGTATGTACTAGTGTGACTGGGTCATCAAGGCAGAACTGGCCACGGCTATGGCTTTGACTTGGTCATGCCAGCAGTGTTGTGTTCGTGTGACCTTCTAGCACTCACTCTGAGTTTGACACCTTGTCATTTTTTCTATTTAGACTTTCTCAAATACGAACATTTCCACCCATTTTCAGTCAATCAGGTCATCCTGGTGCTGCTGTTGCTGCTGCTGTGGTTGCTTCTTCATGCCACCCTACAGAGAGCCTCCAGTCAACCCAGACAAGGTGCATCCAACCAGGCGTTGGCCTCTACGCTTTCACACTCATGACTTGAGTTAAATGATGTCATGTAACTTTGAGCTGAAGGAGTTCACTCCCAGGAAGACTCTCAGCTTGCAACCTTCTGGTCCCTCTCAGGTCACAAGACGAGCCTTATTGGTCCAGCACACGTCCTCCCAGTCGGACAGTCAGAGGACGATAATGTCGTCCCTGTTGTGATCTGCGCTTCTGAGGAGCGGATGGGTGCAACCATGGCAACCATCAACAGCATCATTAGTAATACTGATACAAGTGTTTTCTTCTACGTTGTAACTCTTCGTGATGCTGTGAAACTCATAAGGTTTGATGCTTGTTCCTATGAACCACTGTGGTGTAAAAATCACATATCTGAGCTTCACTTTGTACTTTTTCACCAGGACGTACGTAAAAAGGAGCAAACTGAGTGCAATCCACTATAAGATATTAGAATTTAACCCCATGGTTCTACGAGGAAAGGTGAAGCCAGACTCTTCTCGGCCTGAGCTCCTGCACCCAGTGAGTTAAGTCAACTAGATCTGTCACGCTTCCAGCTCACGGACAACTGTGGTCATTTTAGTTGTGCTTTGCAGCTCAATTTTGTGCGATTTTACCTTCCTCTGCTGGGAATCAGCCACAAGAGGGTGATCTACTTAGACGATGATGTCATCGTTCAGGGTACGTTCATAAACATGTGAGCTGTGATGTCACTTAACTGTTTTCAGAGATTCATTTGTGACGTTGTGGAAACTTACATTTGAAATAAAAAATACAAGACGTTGAATCTCAGTGTTGTTCACTGAAAATGGTTCTAAAGAGTTTGTTTGGGAATGCATTCGTATTTGGTTTCTTTCAGGTGACATCAGGGATCTGTACGACGTAAAACTGAAAGCAGGACATGCTGCAGCTTTCGCTACAGACTGTGACCTTCCCTCCACACATGAGATGGTCCGAAGCATCGGCATGCAGGTTATTCAGCAGCTCATTCAGCAGATTCTGCCCAAATTTAATCTCCAGTGTGAACACTAAAGAGAAATGAAAGTTTCTGTGTAATGACTGTATATAATGCATGTGTGTCTGATCTCTGAATTGTGTGTACTGAAACTCTAATTTCCCTCTGGGATTAATAAAGTATCGTTGATTTGATTGATTTGGATGATTTCATGAATTTGTCATCTGAGCTCATTCTATAGACGACCTACATGGGCTTCCTGGACTACAGGAAACAAGAAGTCAAGGACCTGGGGATCAGCCCCAGCGACTGCTCTTTCAACCCTGGAGTGTTTGTGGCCGATATCACAGAGTGGACGAAGCAGAAGGTCACCAAACAGCTGGAGAAATGGATGGAGGAAAATGTCAGGTTGGTCAACGAGAAAACGTCTATTTTTATTTTACTTTACAGCAGTTTAGGAGCTCAATCTATACTGAAAATCACTGTGTTCTGTCCCACAATGGATGCTCCATGGTCTTTTTTAATCTGGGAATTAAGATTTTAGAGTTCTTGTCTCCAGCTGGACACTGAGTTGAGAAAAAGACCAGTAATAATTTCACTTTGGGACATTTTGGACAAATGAATCACGACCATCTTACGTTACTCTCTGATCGGCCTTTGTTTGGAGGAAAAGTTTACTGGTACAGCAAACGGGAACTCCTTTGTTTCCGATTAACTAATGAAACAACCTAAAAACTCCCGAAACCCTCTAACTTCCACTCCTGGAGAAGCCGAGCAAAGACATTTTGATTTGCATGTTTACTGTTTATTTGAGGCCGTTATGTTTATAACGTAAGGTTATGGTGATAATGTCAAAATTAAAAGACTTATGTAAAATTCATGTAAACTATTGACTTTTTATTGCATCTTTCCAATACTTTTCTGTGTTGTTTTTTTTTAGTTAAAGGCGTGCTTTTTATCGAGACAAAACTGTGTTCTACCTACCAGTTAAAACTAGGGATGCACCGATCAGGTTTTTTGCTGCCGATCACCGATACCGATGTCAAAGAATGCTGATCACCAATACCGATCACCGATCCCGATCATGTGAATTGGCCAGAAATTTTCTACAATATTATAATGAGTGCTACAAACTACATAATCTGGGAATAAAGGAAATGTAACCTAATCTAAAATGGTCTGGCTGATCGGTCTGCTTTGATCTATTTTGAAAACTCCGATCAAAACCGATAGGGGCGCTATCGGCCGATTGGGATCAAATGCCGATCCATCGGTGCATCCCTAGTTAAAATGTGAATCTCTTCAGCCCTGGTTGGGTTTAAGCACAAATATGGGTGTGTTGATTTCAAAATATAATAAAGTTAGAAAATTATGTTTTTGGCATATTTGGAATAAATCCAACACACAAAGTGGCTGTAATGTTGAAAGAAATAGTTCATCTAAAAGTGACACATGTGTTGAAGCCTCCTCGCTGCACAGAGATTAAATAATAATTTCATTTTGTGTTTTTTTTTTCTTTTTGTGCTGGCTGCACCTGTGATCAGAAACATTTCCCCTTCTCCAACAGAAAGAACATTTACAGCAGCGCCATGGCAGGAGGGGTGGCAACTCCACCCATGCTTATTGTTTTTCATGACAAATACACAACGCTGGACCCTCTATGGCACGTCCGACACCTGGGTAAGATCATCCTCAAATACGACATCCGAACAGAAACATCAGCAATCAGAATTATTTACAAGAAAATAAACGAAAACAATTATTCGACACAACTGAGCTAATTATTTCCCAACAAAACTAGTGAGGAACATGTGGGGAAAGTCGAGCAGAGGGGAACAAATGTTTGTTAGGATGACAGTAGAGGAGTTTTTAGGCAGGTTTCTGTGTGCAGGCTGGAGTCCAGACGCCCGCTATTCTGATGGTTTCCTACAAGAGGCTCACTTGCTGCACTGGAACGGCCCGTTCAAACCGTGGAATTATCCTGCTGTCCACCTGGATCTGTGGGAGAGGTGGTTCGTCCCAGACCCCTCCGGAAGATTCTTGCTGTCCCGGCCTGAAAGGGACAGCTGAGACCTGCAGAAGGCTCTGGATTGGACCTTTTTGGTAGAAACATGAAGCACACAGTGATTTTTGAGGGGGACGGGGGGGGGGGGGGGGGGGGGACAAGCCCCCCCCCCCCCCCCCCCCCCCCCCCCCCCCCCCCAATGGGATGTTTTGTGTATTTGTGGAAAATTTGAGTTGGGACTCAACTTCATTATGATTCCACACATAGACGAGTCAAGATGTGAAGGTGAAGTTTTCAGAAAATCTTTACATTTGTATTTTACAGCACCAAAAAGTTCTTTATTTACTTAATTAACCAGTCCTGATTAGTTTTAGTGAGGATATTCATGACTGACAAGAGAATGACCAGGGACTAAAATCAGGAATGAAACAAGGTCAGGAAATAGAATCAGAAAAAATATGCTAAAAGAATAACCAGGATGCAGAAGTTACAGGTCCAGGAGGAAGGCCCAGACAGCCCACCTGCAATACTATACTCTCTTGTGACCTTCATTTCAATTCAGTTCAATTTATTTATTTATAAAGCACCTTCCATACCTTAGCCGAGGCCCAAGGTGCTGAGCAAGACATGGAAACCAGAGTATTAAAACAACATGTTGATTAAAAATCAGTAAAAGAAAAAAGTAGACGAATGAAATCAATCAAAAACTGTGCGAAACAAATGATAAAAATATAAAAGCCAGCGTCAGTGTTGGGGGAAACCTAGCCAATAAAATTAGGTTTTAAGGCTTGATTTAAAATCCTGAAGAGAAGACACTTGCTTCACTGTCAGGGAGGCCCTGTCCCCCCTTGACCTCAGTTCTGAGCTTAGAGGACAAAAATGTCCGCTCTTAAAAGTTGCTATAAAAATGTATACATTCATGTTTTATTTATTTATTTCATAAATCTGTTTAACAACTTCAGTCCTGCTCAAATCTAAACTTCAGTCATTTAGAGAATTTTAACCTTTCAAAATCCATTACATTGATACTCAATGTCATTTCTGTAATTTATGAAGAAAAAAACACAACTAATGAGTTATTTTCCAATAAATCCATTTGCCTCCAGCCAGGTGCATTGGTGTTTTTGTTTTCTACACTTTGAAGTTCAGTAAGAGGGTGAAACTGTGTTTTATTTACTCACCAGCAGTCAGGCTGACCTTTAGGCTTCAACACAAACAGCTGAAGACACGAGGAAACGTGTGGAGTTTCTCGCCTGGGCTACCCATGACTGATTTTGGTGGTGAACAGTAAAAATCACAAATTTCACTAATTTTCTCCAAAATAAAACCCATAAAAGTTGAAATACATAAAAGTTGAGGTATCTTATCATGATAATTCCAGCAAGCACACAACATGCAGTTTCATCTTCACATCCTGATTGTTTTTATTTAAATATTGTCACAGAATAACAGCGCACATTCAGCTCCAACGTCAGATTTTAGTCATTCACCACACACTTGTAGAGATCTGTCAAAACCATGAGGGGCAGCTGAGCAGAGAGAAGACAGTTCCCACCAATCACATGATCTACAATAAAGCAGTGAAAGCAAAAGTATCTTTGAGAGCTGGAGAACTGCAGAGCAACAGATGAAAAGTTCATACGGAGCTCAAGCTGCACAGCAGGAGCAGCAGAGCTCCAGAACTCAGCTAGTGAGCACGGCCTTCAACGACCAGGAGGAGAAAGAAGAAGGTAAGAGAAATTAAATGTCTGCCTTTTCTGTTTGTTTTCTTCGGCTGACAACATGTCCGTCTAGTTTCCTTTGAAACAAGTTGTCAGATTACTCAAAGCACTGCCTGTGGCTTTCTGGTATCTCTAGGTGTCAGTTTTGTGCATAAAAACGCTACACTTAAATGCTGATTCCAAATAACCGAAAGGTATCGAGCAACACTCCAGTTAGGATCCTTTTTGAGATGGCAGTTTGGAGGGTTGGGATATGGACTTGGTTATCTGTGATAACAACCTGTTATTCTGGGACACTGTGTTCTCTTTAGCAGTTATAAAAAAGCACCACCAGCTCCCCGATGCCACTTTCTCCTGGTTCATCCTCTCTGCTGCAGGTGATGTGATGTCATCTTTCCAGAAGAATTAAAGAAAAATCAAAGATATGCTGATCTGTGAACATATTTTTGTTTACTTGTCTTCTCAGACATGGTGACCGGAAGCTCTCGCCACTCTGATGATCTGTGCTCCATAATGCATGGGAGCATGTCCTACAAGATCTGCATCAACAAACTCTGGCACAGTAACTTCAAGCCAGCGCGTTCTCTGTGTCATGAGCTTTTCAGCAAAAGGCCTAAACTCTGTGTCATCGCCATAACATCGGGAAGTCCCGCATCATCCCGGAAGTCAGCCCAGGAAAACACCAGCAGCTCGGAGCAACGAGGGGCCCAAACAGGAAAGGTTCTCTGTGATGTCTGCAACAGGAAAGCTCTGAAGTCCTGCCTGGTGTGTCTGAGCTCCTACTGTAAGACTCACCTGGAACCTCATGTAAAAATCCCAGGCCTGATGAGGCACAAGCTGACCAGTCCTGTGAAGAACCTGGAGGGGCAGATGTGGAATAAGTATGAGAAGGCTACCAGGCGTTTGGAGATATTCAGGAGATATTTTGCTAAACTGATGAGATGTGTTCGTTCATCATGAAGAGAGCTGAAACAGCAGTGATTCATATTCGTACACTGTGTCTTTGTGCTGGATAGAAGTGTTTTGATTGGCTGGGGTGCACGCTGAGCAAAGGGGACTTTTAAACCTGAAAAACCTCACCAGCTGCAGCTGGGGGAGGAGCATTTCGCAATCAGAGCCTTCAAGTAGAAGAAATGAAAGAGAAAGTAGCTCAGATAAAGACAAACTGCCGTCAAGGTCACATTTTAGAGGAACTGCTGAATTTTAATTTTATGTTAATACAGCAAAAATCTCATTCTGGTAAGAAGTCATACATGTGTTTTAAATAATATAAGACAAACAAAATCAGATAGTTTTATTCTTTTTACTTTAACTCAACTTTATAGTGTGTCTCCTGAAAATCTCATTTGTAACTGATAACTAGATGGCCTCTGTCTGTATCATTTCCTTTGATGTGCAAATAGGAACTTTTCATGCATACTACTAGGCTCAGTATAAATAACCTCATTTGCCTTTTATCTGTATACAGTATGAACCATATATTTGTAGCATTTTAGTAACTATACTTGAGGAGAAGCACTTCCGGAAAAGACAATCTGGCTTTTTGTAGTAACGTGATGTAGGTAAACATTTTTAGACGTTTACCAGCAAGTTCTGCTTTATTACGCCGGGGACACACCGGCCGTGGAAGCGTCGCGAAGCGCCGAGAAGCGAATCGCTCACGAAATTCGGCCGCTGCTCGCCGCTCCTCAGTTCACATCAGACGCGCCCCAGTCGAGGCGCGCCTCGGCTCAGCTGTAGTTTTTCTTTTAAACACTTGGTGTCCTCCATTTCCTCTCTGCCTTTTCTCAGCTCTTTTGCTCTACGTGTGTGTGTGTGTGTGTGTGTGTGTGTGTGTGTGTGTGTGTGTGTGTGTGTGTGTGTGTGTGTGTGTGTGTGTGTGTGTGTGTGTGTGTGTGTGTGTGTGTGTGTGTGTGTGTGTGTGAGAACCTATGGTATGAGTTGTTTCTGCCAGTTGAATCTCTTGGAACCCGCTCCAATTCTGCAGCTGTATCCTAGCAGTTCCTTCCGAAATGGGGTATACGTAAATGGGTCGTACAGCTCCTTGTGTTTCTCAACTTCCATAATTCATTTAAAGTCATCCATCTTAACTGCTTGCCTCAGACTTTCTGCATCTCTGTCCTGTTTGCTCCGGTGAAAAGACACCCAAAACCACACCCCCCTTCACGTGGTCACACACGCACACAAGTTCGATGTGTGTGTATGTGTGTGCGTGTTCGTGTGGTTTTTCTGCAGTGTCTGATTACGAACACATTTGACTACTGCAGAATTTTATTTTGAAATGCTTTATTTTGTTAACTTTACCGGCCTGCCTCTTATGTCTGGGTGTGACTTCCTGCGAGAATTGACGCGATTCACACCCGGCTCGCGAAAAAAATAGAGTCGACACCGAAATGATCGCCGCACGGCGCAGGCTGGAGCGCCGGCGCGAGGCGATTCGCGGCGCTTCGGTGGCCCATGTGGTCTATATAATAGCTTAACAAGGGCACCGAATGAAGGCGGTCCCATTTTCGTGGCGCTTCCGCGGCCGGTGTGTCCCCGGATGAACCACATTGTCCAGATCAGTTCATGGAACGTTTATCAACTGTTGCTGTATTATTTATGTCAGATGACATGAAATCGCACCTTGTTGATTTTGTCTTTTAGAGTTTGATGCTGCCAGCTGTTGTTAAGAATGTCAAGTTTGATTACTATTTATCAGACAATGTTCATAGAAAGCATTTGTAATGATTTATTGTAACATTGGGTTTCAAATATGCTATGTTGTGTCTGAAAAAATTTAAAACATACATTTCAACGATTCCAAAGAAGAAAAACATTTGTTTTGTGAGTTTGTTTTTTTCTGCTTACTTTAGTGTGAAAATCTCTTGTAGGAAGTGATACTTAGAACAAGAAAATACTCTTATTCATTGGTCACAATAAGAAGAGGCCAAAGTGTACTGGAGTAGTCGTAAGTGACGTGTGTAGCTTGACTAGCTAAGTTGTCGCGGTAGAAAGTTTGTGAATAAGTGTTTAGTTAAATGTGGCAGTGTCTACCGACATTTTTCGTGGAAAATATCGCGTCTACACTTTAGCTTAAAGCTAGTGTGATAGTCCTACCTGAAATTTGAAGAACGGTTAAACGCAAATTAGCTCGTCAGCGTGCCGGACTATTTAGCATCAAAGAAAAGTGAAGTTAGACCTGCTAAAAAATCAAGTGTTTCCGGTGTGGATCTGTCGTTTGTGCCAATAATACCTAGCTGCAGAAGTAGCCCCGGCCCTGCCCCGGCCAAACATGCCCTGCCCCCCCCACCACCAACCCCCCCCACCCCGACAAAACACGCCCCCCTGTTGAGCTACCCCTGAGCTCAATAACGCCGGCCCTCCCAGCGAACAATAGCCTAGTGAACTAGACCAAATTCTTGCTTTGCAAAGTTTGTAAACAATACATTTATTTAGTCTGGCTTGCCAGGCTAAGCGAACAACACAATTGAAAGAAAATAAATAAAGAAATAGTAATAATGTATAAACAGACAGGACTCCAGGTTTAATTATGAATGTATGGATTTTTTTGGCCATCCCCAGTGAGATTATTTTTGTTTCTTGCATACACACTTTATGGCCATCCCCAGTGAGATTATAAAATACAGATACCACCAACAAATAATCAGTTGCCGTACAATAATCAGTTGCCGGACAATAGGCACAACATACCTATGCTTACTGAAGTTAGCAGGTGAGTAATGTATGTGCAAGTGTTTATTTTAAATGCAATAAAATTAAATATCAGAAAAAGTAATTAGTGGAAATCGTTTTAATTAACCCCTTAAGTAAGTAAGTAAGTAACTTTATTTCTATAGCACCTCTCACAGACAAAAAGGTCACAAAGTGCTTCACAAGTTAAAAGGCAACAACATATAAATACAGTAAAATACAGCCACAATATACATAGTGTCAAATAAAACCAATCTGAATGAGACTAAGTTTAAAATGCCTGGAGAAACAAACGGGTTTTAAGATTGCTCTTAAAAACATCAACTGAGTCGACTGAGCGTAAAGACAGAGGTAGCTCATTCCAGAGCCTAGGAGCGACGGCCTGGAATGAGCGATCTCCTCGTGTCCTGAACTGAGTACGTGGGACCATTAAAAGGTTTTGATCCAGTGATCTCAGCCTGCGAGAAGGCGTGTAAGGGCAGAGCATGTCTCGAACATACAATGGAGCCAGACCATGCAGCACTCTGAAAGTCAGCACAAGAATTTTAAAATTTATGCGAAATGTGATTGGAAGCCAATGAAGAGCTTTTAAAATGGGGGTAATGTGGGCCCTTCTGTTGTCACGGGTCAGAATTCTAGCTGCACAATTCTGGACTTGTTGTAAGCGGGACAGCTCTTTTTTTAGACAAGAAAATAAACTATTACAGTAGTCTAAACGGGATGATGTAAACGCGTGAATAATCAACTCAAGATCAGCTTTAGACACCATTGTTCTGAGTTTAGAAATTTGTCTCAAGTGGTAAAAACAGTTTCTAGTTAACTGCTTTGAGTGATGTTCAAGAGACATTCCCTTGTCAAAGAAAACTCCAAGGTTTCTAAGGGTAGGTTTTACAGACAAACTCAGATCACCTAACTGCTGGTGAATCCCTGGAACAGCATCATCGGGGGCAATCACCAGTACTTCAGTTTTGTCTGAGTTCAGCCGTAAGGCATTTGCACCGAGCCACTGTTTGATTCGCTCAAAACAAGGTAATAGAGAATGCAATTTTTTAACGTCAGAAGGCTTGAAAGAACAATACAGCTGAAGATCATCAGCAAAGAGATGATAGGAAACATCATCGGCAAACTCCTGGATTAGGTTTCCTAAAGGAAGGATGTACAACAAGAACAAAACCGGGCCCAAAACTGAGCCCTGGGGTACTCCACACCGTAGATCAGTTGGGTCAGACAGGATCTGGTTGACTGAGACACTTAGGCTTCTCCCTGATAAATAGGACGTAAACCACGCCAGGACAGAACCTGACAACCCAACCAACTCGCGGAGCCTACTCAGCAAGATCTCATGGTTAACCGTGTCGAATGCGGACGAAAGGTCTAGTAAAACTAGGACCGTGCATTTCCCAGAGTCTGCGGACATCAAGATGTCATTGGACACTTTAAGCAGCGCAGTTTCCGTAGAGTGGTGCTTACGGAAACCGGACTGAAACCTGTCAAAGATATTGCGATCCTGTAAGAAGGAAACCAGTTGTTCAGATACCACTTTCTCTAAGACTTTGGACAGGAAAGGGAGTTTTGATATCGGTCTAAAATTTTTAGGATCTGTTGGATCCAGATTAGATTTTTTGAGTAGGGGTTCCACAAAAGCATGTTTAAAACAGCTAGGGAAAACGCCAGAAGAAAGGGACAGGTTAAACATTCTGGTAACCCAGGGACCAATGGCATCAAATACTTTTGAAAGGAGTTTACAAGGTAAGACATCAGCCAGGCAAAAAGAGGGCTTCATTGTGGTTACCAAAGCTAAAATATCATCCTGTGTTACAGGTGAGAAAGAGGACCACGCGTGCGCAGGAAGTTCATCAATATCATCATTACATGACTGAAAAGATGGGAGTTTGTCTTTGATATTTTGAATTTTATCAACAAAGTCTCTCGTCTCGTCTTCCTCCGCTTATCCGGGTCCGGGTCGCGGGGGCAGCATCCCAACTAGGGAGCTCCAGGCCGTCCTCTCCCCGGCCTTGTCCACCAGCTCCTCCGGCAGGACCCCAAGGCGTTCCCGGACCAGATTGGAGATGTAACCTCTCCAACGTGTCCTGGGTCGACCCGGGGGCCTTCTGCCGGCAGGACATGCCCGAAACACCTCCCCGGGGAGGCGTCCAGGAGGCATCCTGACCAGATGCCCAAACCACCTCAACTGGCTCCTTTCGATCCGGAGGAGCAGCGGTTCTACTCCGAGTCCCTCCCGAATGTCCGAGCTCCTCACCCTATCTCTAAGGCTGAGCCCGGCCACCCTACGGAGGAAACTCATTTCGGCCGCTTGTATCCGCGATCTCGTTCTTTCGGTCATTACCCAAAGCTCATGACCATAGGTGAGGATTGGGACGTAGATCGACCGGTAAATCGAGAGCCTGGCTTTCTGGCTCAGCTCCCTCTTCCCCACGACAGATCGGCTCAGCGTCCGCATCACTGCAGACGCCGAACCAATCCGCCTGTCGATCTCCCGATCCCTCCTACCCTCACTCGTGAACAAGACCCCGAGATACTTAAACTCCTCCACTTGAGGTAGGACCTCTCCCCCGACCCGGAGGTGGCAAGCCACCCTTTTCCGGTCGAGAACCATGGTCTCAGATTTGGAGGTGCTGATCCTCATCCCAGCCGCTTCACATTCGGCCGCGAACCTACCCAGCAAGAGCTGAAGGTCAGAGCTGGATGAAGCTAGGAGGACCACATCA